CCCCAGGTTTTCCTCAGCACCAGGAGAGGGGCTTGGATCTTGAATCGTGTAGGAGACTATGGATATCCTTTTGATGCGATGTTCTTTTCTCGACTTAAACGTTTTTTTGTGAAGATTTGTGGTCCATCATTAATAAACATGTATTTGGAAAAAAGGATGAACCAAAGGTTTAGCCACGAAATGTATGGACTAAAGCCTAAACACAGGTATGTTCAGGATGGGCTTGGGGCGGTTATAGCCAAAGCACAAAAATAAGGACTGTTCACATAGGCTAATAGTAGAGCTACCTCTACACATTAAGAAAATCCAGAGTCTAAGATCAGATGTCTCCCTTGCTCCCACAGAAGCCCAAGATCTGCTGATCTGTACTCTTTGATCTATGATTCTCCTTGGCAGAGAATAACCATCTGATCATTTCCCTAGGTACTAGTTCTGTTTACATGACGTCCAACAACCACCTGGTAGTAGAGGGCAGTGCATCATTCATTCATTCAGTTATCCAACAAACATTGAGGACCTCTTACGAGCCAAGCGTTACACTGGGCATGAGCGTACAGAGACTAAAGACCTCATAGTAGTAGCAATACAAATAATAAAACCTTACCTTTTTGAGGACTTAATATGAGACAAGCACAGTACTAAATGAGTTACATGCATTATCTCATTTAACCCCCAGAACAGCCCTATAGATTGGCGTTTTCCCTGCATTTGATAGATATAACAGTTGACACTTAAAGAAACTAATTATCCCAAGAGCACATCAGAAATAAATGGGAGATCCAAGAAGAGGATTTTACCTTAAATACTCTAATGAAAAGACAGACAATAGAATAAAATGAATGCATGGCATGCCATGCGAGCATAAAGGATGGGAGTCCTCACATAGCCAAGGAAGGAAACTGAAAGCATTTGTAGAGGCTGATTTTAAATACTTTTTCCCTCCAACTTTTTATTTTTTAAATGTTCAGATTTACTTGATGCAAAATATAAGTATAATGAGCACCCATAAACCCTTCACTTAGATTCCAAAATTTGCTTTCTCTCTCTCCCTCACTAAAGATAGATCCATTCATGTATATCATACATACTACATACATACATTCACACATACATATTTTTTTCTGAATCATTTAAAAAGTAAGTTGCAATCATTAATGCACTTTACCCTAAATTACTCAGAATATATTGCCTGAGAAAAAGGGCATTCTCCAACTTAAACACAATACAATTATCACACTTGGGCAATTTAACATTGATAAAATACCATTATCTAATATATTTAATTTTACCAACTTGCCCCAATAACATATATACAGCTTTTTTATTTTTAAATCCAAGATTCTGTCAAGTATTACACCATTGCATTTAGCTGCCATGTCTCTCCTTTTTTAATCCTCCTTTTTAAAAAAAATCCAAGCCAATTGTTTTGCAGAAAGTCTGTATTTGCTTGAGAAACCATACATGCACTCTCCAAATAAAAGTATTCTTCCTTCATGTCTCCAACTTCTTTCATTTTAGTGCCATCCAGGGTCCAACTTCTGCTCTGTGATCCTGATCTGTGCCAATATACATTAAACCATTTCCAAATGTCATGGATAGACCACGAGGGAGACCACTGGCATATTGTTTAACCACCTCCATCAAAACAGAATTTTACTTACGTGATACTGATTTCTCTCTCCCTCCCTGCCCCCATGATTGCTCTCATTTCTCCTTCTTCTTGGTCTTTATCTCCACTCACAGACTTCTGAGTCAGCATCCAACAATCAATGATGACCTGCCAAATCGTATAATTTCTGGCTTGGTGAAGGTGAAAGGAAATGTGAAGGAATTCACAGAGACAGCTGCCATATTTGAAGATGGCTCCAGGGAGGATGACATTGATGCTGTTATCTTTGCCACAGGCTATAACTTTGCTTTTCCTTTCCTTGAAGATTCTATAAAAGTAGTAAAAAACAAGGTATCCCTGTATAAAAGGGTCTTCCCTCCTAACCTGGAAAAGCCAACTCTTGCAATCATAGGCTTGATCCAGCCCTTGGGTGCCATTATGCCCATTTCAGAGCTCCAAGGACGCTGGGCCACTCAAGTATTTAAAGGTAGGTAACCATGCAAGTTGACTACTTAATTACTTGGTAGTATCTTTATGTTTATGGCTTGCTTTTTAGTTTTTTCTCTATGTTTTTATCAAAAATTTTAATGTTGACATAATTACAGGTGTCCCCCTTATCCCCCACCCTTTCCCACCTTCACTCACCCTCACCTTCCCTTTCCTTGGCCTTCACCAAAATAGAGTTTGTGTACATGGGGTATGCGTACATATTCTTTAGCTAATCCCTTCACCTTTTTTATCATGTCACCCACACTCCCCTACCCTCAGGCACTGGCCAGTCTGTCCCATGTATCCATGCTTCTGGTTCCATTTTGTTTGTCACTTTATTTTGTTCATTAGATTCCAGAATTTTATGGAGTAACACCTTATGGCTGGGTGTGGCTAAAATGACCTCCATGCCATAGTCCCTCTAAATCTGGGCAAAAAGCTAATCCTTTTAGCTTAGAGTTGTTTATGTTGACTTAAATACTACTCTACCTTTCTCTAGCCAGTTCCTTGATGTTAAATTCATACTATTGCAACTGTTTGTTCATCAGTGTTTAAATGTATCTGTCAAGATTGGGTATTATGAGTTGCCCTTAGCTTTACTTCCATTCTGACCAAATAAAAAAGTTTAGAAGATGAGGCTTATCTTCCATAGGACTTTAGGCATGAAACGGGATTGAAAATTATGTTTTACTTCCTTCTCCCTGTGGTATTAAACTTCTTTGTGATTAAGAGTACAGCTGTGGGTGTGTTCCCCCTGCTCTTTTTCTTTGTACTTCACTTTCCATATACCTTAAGGCCATTTATCATTTCCTTGTGTCCATATTTCCTTTCCCAAGTGAAAGACTAAGGTAGGGAGGAAGTAGTTATTGGTTGGAAGGCAGAGTTAAGAGAAATATCTTCCAAAGACAAAGTGGGATAGAGAAAGCTACTGATGTTAATTAATATCATTATATTATGGCGGTGGTAGGATAAGGTGATCAGGTGAAGGTGTAACCTCCTTGAGTACAGAAAACTATCTTGTATTTCTTTGAACTCTCCCTAACACAGTAATTGTTAATAGGATTATTGCTCCTACTGAGGTTGCTTTACACTTAAATTTTTGTTTTTTCTCTTTAGGGCTAAAGACATTGCCCTCACAAAGTGAAATGATAACAGACATAGCTAAGGCTCGAGAGAAAATTGAAAAAAGGTGAGAAATTCTCCCAGTAAAGTATGCACTTGATTTTTCTACATAATAAGAACAATATTATACTATATTTATCTTCATTGCATTAGTTTAAGGATTTAGATTGTATTTTGAAGGAAAAGGAAATAATAGTTTGTGACAATAGAATGAAGAAATAGTACCAAGTGGTTTAGATATGGATGGGAAAGAAGAGACAAGCTTAAGAAAAGTGTTTAAAATCCTGTGATTATGACCTAAAAGAAAAGTCAAGCCCAACCAGCGTGGCTCAGCAGTTGAGCATCGACCTATGATCCAGGAGATCGGGGTTGGATTCCTGGTCCCTGCACATGGCCTGACTATGGGCTCAATCCCCAGCCCTGGGGATCATGCAGGAGGCAGCCGATCAGTGATTCCCCTTCATCACTGATGTTTCTCTCTCTCTCACCCTCTCCCTTCCTCTCTCTGAAATCAATAAAAATATAGTTTAAAAAAAGAAAAGTCAAGGAGGAAAAAACACATGGAGAAAAAAATCAAGCATGTGGGTTTTGTAACAATTACTAGAAGTGCTAGTAGAGCTGCCAGAGAAAGGAAGAGTGACAGTGAATTGAGCAGTAGATATGGTCCAATTCCAAATCTGCAGGTAGGTTTACAAATCTGCAGAGACCACTTTGTGGGCTGTCGTCATGTGAGAGCCCACTCAAGTCACAGTTGCTCATGGTATGAATAGCCTGTGTGACTTGGAAGGGTGGTAGCATCAGCCAGCTGCCTAGTGCTTGGGTGGATGGACACAGCAGTTTAGTGATCTGACTTTCAGAACTGAGCTTATTCACTGGTTTTTATTTGGGCAAAGTGGAAGTTGATGGTGGTGTGTTAAAGTCAGAGGCACAATCATTCCAGGCCTAAGGACGTGTTTCTTCAGCTGGTTTCTTCAACCAACATAACTCTTCCCTACCTTGGAGGAGGAGAAATAGTTTTTATTTAACCCTGATACCCTTTCCAGGTCCTCTAGTCTCCTCTTTCCTTTCACTGCCAAACTTATGCAATAAATATTATGCATTATATGCTCTAAATTCTCACCCTTTTTCCCTCTGAAGGTCCCTGCATCGTCATTCCTGCTACTGCTCCCTTGAAGGTCACCCATGACCAACTTCATTTTCCTTCCTCTCTGAGTCTGACACTTTTAAACATCTCATCCTTCTTGGAGTGCTTTCTTTCCTTGTTTTTCTGGTACTAAAATATCCTATTTCAACTCTTCCCTTTACTTTGACTTATTTTTGTCTGGCCACCTGACTGAGCAGTCCCTAAGGATATAATGTACCCTTTATTGAGGGTCCACTATGTATATACACCAAGTGATTTATATGTATGAGTTTCTTTACTTCTCATAACAACCCTACAAGGCAGGTACTAGTGAATCTCTTTGTGAAAGTTTCATGAATTCTATAGCCTGTGACCCAGTACTGTCAGATAAATGCATGTCTATAAACCCTTGAGCCAACCTAACATCCGTAAGGGACAGCTCTCAAATTCTGTCCTGTCTTCTCTTCCTCTCTTCTAAAGTTTAGAATCTATCAGTTCCTGTGGAATTGCATTTCACCAGTTCTACCTCAAATTTATCTTTTATTATTTTTCCCTGTGCTTGTTTTGGATTCTTTTAATATGCACATCTAATTTCAATTAATTTGACTTGGCTTTTTCTCTTCCTTTCTGGACCACTACTCTTTGTTTTATTTTTATTATAGAAAGTAAAACAAACAAAGTTCTCGGTTAGCTCTCTAAATCTCACTCCTTCCACACTGGCATCATCATTACCACATTTCCCCTCTATAAAGCCCTTTTAGCTTTTCAAATCTGCACTTGGTGTAATCATTCCTATCTGGCTCCATTCAGAGGGTTAATTCCTCTGGTGGAGTAAGTCATCCTCCTCCGTCCTCTCAAGATTCTGAATTAACATTGGCCATTGGAAGTCGTGCTCTGTGGACCCCACTACCGCTGCCCTCATAAAACAAGGAGAGTCCTAAACTTGAGGATTTTCATGATAGGTTCTCTCTTATAAAATCGGAACCCTCTGTATCTTGATCTGCTATACTTGCCTCTCTATATGCACCCTTGCTTTTCACAACATTCCTCCTCTACTATAGGTAATGTCTACAGGTATTTTACACTCACATTCTACACTCCTGCTTTATTCCTTCACTCTGCTATTCCCCTGACTTGTAATACTTCCTCCTTGTTCTCAGCTTATCTGTATCTTCCACATCCTTCAAGGACATATCATAGCTCTATTTTAACTACCCTCTTCTACATTCCTATTTAGCAGTCTAAAACCACATGATTTGCCAAAAGTCCTATATTCTATGTTTCACATGTGTCTATCTTATCTTTTCCAGTAATTATAAAGTCCTTAAGGATAGAGACAATGTCTTATCTTTCTTCTCTATTTTCCATAGCTCCTAGACCAATATTGAGACAATAACAGGTACTTAGAAAGCACTGATTAACTGATTAAATTGTTGATAGGCCATGGCTTTTGTCTTCTCTGTTTCAGGTATGTGGAGAGCCAGCGCCATACCATTCAGGTAGACTATATAGATACCATGGATGAGCTTGCTGACCTGCTGGGCGTCAGGCCCAATTTGCTGTCTCTGGCCTTCACTGACCCCAAGTTGGCATTACAGTTATTATTGGGTCCCTGTACTCCAATCCAGTATCGTCTACAGGGTCCTGGAAAATGGGATGGAGCTCGAAAAGCTATCCTTACCACAGACGACCGCATCAGGAAGCCTATGATGACGAGAGTAGTTGAGAGCAGGAATTCCATGACTTCAATAATAACAAAGGCCAGGTTTATGCTGGCTGCTGTTATCTTTGCCATAATTATAACCTATTTTTAGCTGTTCCATTGTCATTGCTCCAGTTTTCTTTGAGGAGCTGGATCTACAGATGCCTTCAGAATCTGGCAAGGTTGAACAACTCTTAGTTTCACATTACCGAGAAATCTGTTTTTTCCCCAAAGCATTCATCCTTTTTCCTCTTTTCCCTATAATGAAATTCCAGCTTTTCATTCATATTGACTTATCTTCCTTCTCATGACCCAGCATGTTTTCCTTTTGGCAGTCCCTAGGCTAGTGAGCTCAGAGACTCTCTTAATCATCTTTTCATGTCCTTAGCAGAGTTCTTGGCACATGATAGGTGTTTAATAAATGTTTGTTGTTATCACACATTATGGTGGGGAACATAAGTCAGTATCTGTATAAGAAATGGGTGACTGCATTTGTAACTCAGCTTCTGAGAGGATTTGGTTCTCTATTAGAAACTCAATCTTCTATGTGCTTTTAATATTGTAATTAAGTGTATGTTTCCTGAGGGGTAAAAGAAATAATGGTCTTGTAACAGCTGTATATACCTAAGATATATACATAAACATTTTGTCTCACTAGCTATTCACGAGTGTATCTGATAGCTGGTCATTTTGATAAAGGTCTTTATTATGTCAATGAAGAAACTACCTTCAACTTTCAAGGCACATGGGCCATTCTAATAATCTAGCATTTGTCAGAAGGTTCAACTTGGTTGAAAAACTTGAGATTTTAAATTAGCTGTCCTATCTTTTTTGAGCTCTTAGTTCTCATATTAGAATCCAACAAGACTTTACCTTGGGAGGTGTGATCAGTAGCTGCCTACTGTTGTAGTGTGACCTACAAATGTGATTTGGTTTTTCTCCCCCCACTCCTGCTTTCTCCCCTCCAATCCCTCTCACAGATAAAGTCTAAGTAGTAAGTATTTGAAGAGGTCATTTGTATTAAATTAGAATTGGTATTAACTAAATATAGGGGCATTCAGAGAAAAGGGGGGTGGGGAGGTAGTAAAGAGTAATGGGGGTCAAATATATGGGTCAAATATATGGTGATGGGAGAAATCTGACTTTGGGCGGTGCGCACACAATGCAATATACAGATCATAGAATTGTGCACTTGAAACCTATATAATTTTATTAACTGATGTCACCGCAATAAAGTTAAAAAGAAAAGTATAAGATCATTCTACTTATAACAGTTCCCCTTATATCATACAGTGTAGTTCTGACAAACAGCAAATGAGACAAAAAGCAAGGACTCATCTTATTCCCAGGGCCACTGTTGATTCTGTTTTCTCATCTGTAGAAGTCTTGCTCTGTTTTTGTCTCACAGAGAAGTCAATGAAGAGTTAGCCATCAGGCCCACTTAGTTTCATGAATTAAGGTACTATATATACTGGCCAGGTGTATGTCATAAATAGCTGTTGGGCAATAGATTTTGGGATCAATGCCTATTACTTGACAAAAGGATCAACCTGAAAAACCGAAAGGATAACGTAAGAAATTATCTTGCCCAATATAAATACACATAACAGAACCAGAAATGTGAGAACATTTGGACAATTTCTGCCCTTGGGCCTAATTTATCTTTGAAAATGCTTTTTGAGAATTAGACAACTGACAGCCAATATTCTTTAGTGTTTTTCCTTCCCTAATCCTTATGATGTTGAGCACTTGAAATCTATTAAAATGGATATAGTATCTTTTAATCTGCAGATAGTTCAAAAGTAAATTGAAGGCTGCTTGCTATTTTTTCACTCCTTTCTTTTAACATATAAATTTGCCTTTTTCAGCGGGTAAGTCTGTGAATTAACATTCCTTTAATAATACAATTCCTAATCATCAGCAACAAGTACCATAGTTTTCTTAATTTTTTTTTATTCTAAATTCACTGACTGTCTCATTATCCTTATAAAATAGAAGGTTACAAAAATATCATTTGTTACCTTCTAAACCAAGCTAAAAGTAAGATATGAATAGGAATTTGAACTCAAACCAATTCAATTACTACAAACCTGTAGTAGCTGATGAATATGTACTAATATTCATCAATTTATCATATCTTGCTTTTGTAATTACATTAAAAGGTTATATCATTTTCCCAATTAGATTATACAATAGAATGCATCCATGTAGTGCCAAAAAGTATGGATGTGCTCAAAAAGCAAACTGATGGGGTGTGTCCAAGCCACACAGGAGCCAAATGAAGGTGGACCCAATGGTCAAAGATGTAACAATTTGAGCAGTAAATTACCTGGTACTGGATTATAACATAAGATGTAAAAAAATACCCATGAGTCTGTATTGATATTAATGATTGAATAAATTAGGCGGGGAAGAATACACAAACCTCCCACACAGAATTCCAAATAGTTTACGTAGTCACTCTGCCTTAAGAGTGAAGTACATAGTGACTTCCTTCCAAAGAGAAAAGCATGGAGAGGGGGGAAAATACCTTTACAGAGGAGCAATCTGACAAGTAGGACCTCAGCTGGGTAATCAAGATGAAATCAACAGTGAAGTCACGTTGATAGTACGCACCCTTGATATGATGCGATGAGGATACTTTATCTCTGAGGTCTTCCTCCTAACCCATAACCCAGTCTAACCACGAGAAAAACATCAGACAAACGCAAGTCAGGAGTGTTTTATAAAATATCACCGCAAAACTGTCAAGATCATAAAAGACAAGGGAAGTCAGAAACCATCAGACACATAAATGCAAGAAAAGGAAACTAGACCAGCTTCTTATGCCATACACAAGAATGAACTCGAAATGGGTGAATGACTTAAATGTTAGACTCGAAACCCAAAAATCCTGGAAGAAAACAGGCAGCAAAATCTCGGACATTTCTTGGAGCAATACTTTTTCTAATGTATCTCGTCAGCCAAGGGAAACAAAGGAAAAAACTAACCGGGACTACATCAAACTAGAAAGTTTTTGCACAGCAAAAGAAACCATTAACAAAATGAAAAGACAGCCCACTAAGTGGGAGAACATTTTCGCCATACAGCGTCACTAACCCGTTAAGGTTTATCTCCTAACCACTCCTTCCCTGGGGGTCAAGTTGTCTGCTCCCCAACCTGGAGCAACCGGGCTCCAGGAACTAGCGGGTGTAGTTCCCCTAGGAACCCACCTCTTGGGGTCGCCATGACAACGAAACCGGTTTTGGCGAAACAGGCCCGGTGAGGGGCCGGGAAGAAAGCACCGTGCCTGTGGGTACTGTTATAGAAATAGATTTGTGTGTGTATTAGAGTCAGGAATATAAGTGTGATGTATGTATTAGATTTGAAATAAGTAACTTCATCTTGTGTGACCGAGTGTAATTGTGAGGCCTGCGTGCCACGATAAGATTAACACTTTGTAGCCCTGGCTTCCAAGCAGGCCCGCGCTCTGTAGGACCCTGATAAGACACACTGAAGACGCACCACACCTTCAACCCAGCTGTTAAAAGCAGGGGCTTTTCGGCCACATCTTTGGATGCTTGTCTGCCCTCCACAGACTTCATCCCCAGCTCCGGGAAAGCTGACCCTGCCTTGCTCTGCCCTGCACCTCTCTAGGAGAACTTCCAGAGGGCTGCAGTGACCGACGCCGTTGCGGCCGCACCCCCAGACCTTGTGTGTGTCTTTCAGCGGATCCTCCGGGTGGCCTGCTGGTGCCAAGAACCATTGGGAACTGGTATATAAACCCTGTGTGATTTGCTTTATGTTTGTCTCTGTCTCCCTTCTTGAAACTTGAATTATTGGCTCGGTCTTATTGAATTAAAGTGTCTCTCGACCCTCACGGTGGTATAGCCACGTATTGGGAGTTAGACCACCTGCGTTTATGTCTCCAGAGAAACTGGGACA